CTTTGTGTCTCTGTGACTTAGGCAGCAGCCTGTTTCGTCTCGCTTGGGTTTGGAGCCCTCGGGTGTCACCGCTCTGGAGTTGATGTGCTCCGTGACCACCTTCCCGCAAGAGAATTCGTGGCTTTTATCTAACGTTGTGTCTCTGTGACTTAGGCAGCAGCCTGTTTCGTCTCGCTTGGGTTTGGAGCCCTCGGGTGTCACCGCTCTGGAGTTGATGTGCTCCGTGACCACCTTCCCGCAAGAGAATTCGTGGCTTTTATCTAACGTTGCGGGGTTCATGCCTGAACATATCAGGGACCTCCTCCAGGCCTGGGGCTTCTAAGTTCTGCCATAACACACCTAGGAGCAATGACCGTGTACAGCGCCTAGCACCATGCCACCTGGCCCACGGCTCCGACTCCTGCTATAGCTCGGCCATGTTAAAGAGACCCCCAGGCCTCCACGCCAGGATTCCAAGTCATCAGTCAATCTGGAGGTCCGATTTGGGACGCCATGGGAGACACTGATTTTCAGACAGCGCTGAGCTTTTCCCTCTGAAAACAAGGGCCCCTCGTAGGTGTTTCAAGTGTGTTTGGGTGCTTTGGAGAAGCCCAGGGTTGGCATTTTGCCCTCACCCAGCACCGTCTTCCTACAAAACAGGAGGAGCTTGGGCAATCGTAACTCCGCCCTGTTGCTTCGCTATGAACTGTCTGCCTCAGAAATGCAGCCACCTCTGGGGTGGAACACCGGAGCTGTGTAACAGCCGCGTAGCGCACGTTTGAGACGGGACGTGAGGAACGCGATTGCACAGCCAAAGGCAAAAGCCCCTGCATCCCGGCCACAAACACTAACGTCCCACAAGGTCTTTAACCGCCCACAAGCCTTCAGGACACCTCCCCCCCCGCAGCACCCTAGCCATGCGGCCACTACCAGGGCCTTTTCTTGTGGCCACAGCCTCCTGGGCAGTGATGAGAGGGGGCGGGGCACAGCAGCCCCTCCCTGGGGGAGGCCACGCCCCATCCTTTCTGGCTCCCACTGCCTCCCCCTGGCCTCTCTCCCCCATCCCTGCTGCGTCCCTATCTACCACCCTACCCAGGGCTTAATTTCCCGTCCCACTTGCCAGGCCTGAGTAAATTTGCAGGGAGAAGTGCTATTGGGCTGTGTCTACACTGGCACCCTTTTCCGGAAATGCTTAAAACGGAACAGTTTTCCGTTATAAGTATTTCCGGAAAAAGCGCGTCTACATTGGCAGGATGCTTTTCCGGAAAAGCACTTTTCCCGGAAAAGCGTCCGTGGCCAATGTAGACGCGCTTTTCCGCAAAAAAGCCCCGATCGTCATTTTCGCGATCGGGGCTTTTTTCCGGAAAAGACTACTGGGCTGTCTACACTGGCCCTTTTCCGGAACAGTTTTTCCGGAAAAGGACTTTTGCCCGAACAGGAGCAGCATAGTTTTTCCAGAAAAGCACTGACAATTTTACAGTAGATCGTCATTACTTTTCCGGAAAAGCAAGCGGCCAGTGTAGACAGCTGGCAAGTTATTCCGGAAAAGACACAGCCTTGGTGTGTTGGCTCATATCACTGTTCCCTGCCTCCCAGCTTGCTAGCTCGTCTGCTTCTGTGCACAAGGATATCAACCCACCTGGAAATACCACTTTTCACAGCAGCAGACGGACTCACAAGCAAGTCTAAAATGAAAAACAAATACATTCGAATAAATTGCCTAGGGAGCTTGTGGAATCTCTATTCTGGGAGCTTTTAAGAGCAGGTTGGAGAGACATCTGTCAGGGATGGTCTAGACGGTGCTTGGTCC